AATTAAGGTAACACACACAAAATGAAGGAATAGCATGAACTTCAAAAGGAGCGAGACCGAAAAATATTCAAATATATTTAAACAAAAAATTAAAATACTCAAACTGTATAAGTAGATAATTGTGGAAATGGTGTTCAGTTTTCTCAAAAAGGAAAGGTCCATGACTCCCACTTCCCTCTCCCTAACACCCAGACGAAAATCAGTCGAAATTGTTTTCCAGCATACCCCTATTTTAACTCCCGCCGCCCTATCTACGCGTTTAAAATTGATTAATCATAAATAAGGTTACAGTCTAAGCCAGTAATAGTTTAGTAAGTAAAACGCTAACAGCTTACGTCCGTCGGCGTTCAAAATTTAAAACCTGGTATCTGTGATGGGTTTATTAAAGCCGTCATTTCCTATGGTCGATTAAAATTTTACTGAACATAGTTTTGGTGTTTACCATTGGCAGAAGCGGATCATGGATTTCCAAGGGAAGGGAGCAACGGTAAAAGTGGCGCCACCTAATTTCACAATTGATCTGTGTTTTGTGGTAATAAGAATTTGTGTAAGTTTAATAACATTTGGTTGAGGCAAACTAAAGTTAGAGAACAGAAACGAAAAATTCAGCAATTTTCATATTTATAAAGGGGCATAACTCATGAACGGTAAAAGTGACGCCACCAAATTTCACACTTGATCTGTGTTTTATGGTAATAAGCATTGTGTATAAGTTTTTAAATATTTGGTTGAGGCAAACTAAAGTAAAGAACGGAAACGAAAAATTCAGCAATTTGTATGTTTATAAAGAGTCATAACTCATGAACGGTAAAAGTGACGCCACCCAATTTAGAACTTGATCTGTGTTTTGTGGTAATAAGCAATACTAGTAAGTGATACGCGACGGACGGGACGGACGGACAAGGGTAACACTTAATGACCCCTCCGCTAGGCTTTTTGTTCGGTAGATAATCCTTATTTTGTTTTTCGAGACGAACTCTTCTCCCTGGGTTGGGGTGGTGTTAAGGTTTAGGGTAAAGCATGTCATGGATGTTTGTTTGTATGCAAGATTATTTATCTTAGAGTACCTGCTCAGTTTCTTGTTCTTTGTGTTCTTGCAGACTCATACAAGTATATCAACATTGTTGTGTATGAAAATATTGTTATTACTTTATGTTACATGTGTAGATTATATTGTTATCAAATTCCTTTTGGGATGTTAAGGTTAGAACAGAGTTCGTCCTCATTGTTTCCCCCCATGTCCGAGTGGCGGTAAATCAGTTCCCAGGTTACCGCTCACTTTCAAGCTTTAGTTCGCCATTTCTAACCCTTGTCACCCCTCATCATTTTTTGTTTATCTCATTCATGTAACGAATATATATTGTAACAGGCTATTTTCCAATCTAAATAGGTGTTAGTTAAGCCCATATTCCCGCTAGCCTTCTACGTTCTCCCTCACTCAAATCGAGAAGTCCGCCATTATCGTTAACGTAGCATGCTTATAAGGTGTACTACTAACACGAGATCGGACCAATGGCTATGCTCTGATTCCCACAGATTTTGACAAAAGGTTAATATGATGAGGTGTTTTCGCTTAGATTCTCACCGTTACAAATGGTTATGATAAGGTTTTTCACTTTGATTTTCACCGATTTAGGCGTTTTCCGAGATGTGCGTTGAGACTGAAGACCCAATGAAAGGGCATTAACATAACTTACCTGAATATTTTATTTACTGAGCGCACTACAGCCACAGTCGTCTAAACTTTGTACCGTAACCGTCCGTGAAGACATTTTACGACGTCCAGTAAACATTGTAAGTTGAAATCCGAGACTTAACGAAGGCGGATATCATTGATTACAGATGCAAAAGGGAATATCATCCCAATCGTCATTACAATCTATGATATCATAGCCTTCCTCAATCAACAGTTGTCCATGTGCACCAAAAACAATTCAAGATGGTCTGTGCCTGTCAATTTTGTCTTCTGGTTATAACTTATTTGGTTTTAGTCAATTTTCTGTAGCTGACATGCCCTTGTATATATCTGACATTAATGTAAACGAGGTTGCTAAGCATACTCCTACTCGTAATTCAAATGATCAGAAAACAGAAAGTTGGCGTTCAATAGATCCGATTAGGGTACGCAACTTACAACTACTAATGTTGCGCTGCTGACAAATATAAAGTCATTATTTTCATAAATGTGAAGGTAAAGAAGAAAACAGTGTCCCATGATGACGTTTTTGGTAACAAAAAGTACCAGTCAAAATGTGTCTCGGTACCAGAACACTTATGTCAGTATTAGGTAAAAGTCAAAACTTTTTTTGTTGAAAATTCAAAGGCTTCTGCTAGCGCGAAAATGATCTTGATATTCTGTTATCATAAAACACGGGATAAATACTGACTATGCCTAATCAATTAAGCAAAGCCAACGACGAATATCTCTATATATTAGGCAAGACGTCCATGATGAGATTCAAAGAATGCTTGGAAATAGGATCATTCTTCCTTCTATTTTCCTTGGAGCTCACCAATAGTTAAAGTTCGTAAACGAGACAATTCAATTCGGTTATGCATTGGTTTTCGCCGGGTAAATGATTCAACTCCTATTAAAGCCAGCTATTCATTACTGACAATTTATGATATTTGAGAAGCATTAAGGGGGATACTAGGTTTTTTAAGTGGGGATGGACCCTAATTATGCTTGTAAGACATCACTTGTCACGAGTGGAGGTTTTTATGAATTCACTCGTATGCATTTTGGCTTTTGCAACGCTGGAGCAACGTTGCCATATTAATGTAATACGCACTTTCAGGATTGCAATGTATATCTAGAAGACATTATTGTATTTTCTAGGTCTTTTGAAGCGCACATTACCAAACTTCAAACAAATCAGAGGACTGTTTCTGGTTAGTAAAGATTGTATTGTTCAACCAAGTCGTAATTATGAGCGTAAAACTTGTTAAGTGTCGATTTCAGTCATTATTCTGTTGGAGCATTTTAGGTGTAAAAGAGACCAGTCCGTAAAATACGAACATAACGTATCAATTAAACTATGTAAACGTCAAACAATGAGGGAAAAGTGTATGTTATTGCTAATAAATGCTTAGATGACAGTTGGGAAGTTGATATCACGTTTGTTATAGATTGTAATCGTCTATCTGTGTAAATAACGAGGAAAAGATCAAGACATAAAGCAGACCTTCTAGTTTCGGAAGTATGCTTAAACTAAATTTCACGGGGATATACAAGATGCGTACAAACACTGACATGTCATTTATTTAGTGACATGACATCATTGCACACATCTAAAGTGTTTTTTCCACCCTTGATAAGAGTCTGTAATTGTGCTCTAAATATTTCCGATTTATTTGCTGAACTAAAACGGTTATTTGACAAAACTATTGTAATATCTTCGTTATTGCAAAGGGAGTTTATTTGAAATAAGTTTAGCCTCAGCTTTCAATCTGCAATGTGAATCGGAATAACCCTAAGTGGTTTATTTCAGAAAGAATCTCAAATTGATGTCAAAGTTTTTCAATATCTTCAGTGCCACCATAATATTGTCTTATGATATCTTAAAAAAAGTACTCAGATTTACTTTGATGAAGATGTCTATCCTATTGTGGGTTAAATTGAAATCATTCATTAATTTGTGACTATGACTAGTAGATTGCTTATTAGGGTAAATTTGTTAATTTTGTCTTGTCATGTTTTCATCTACATGTATTTTGGTATTTCTTTTTAAACGTTTTCAGAGAACAAGAGTGTTATTTTTGTTACAAAGTGATTGAACACATTGGTTGAAAATTGATATTCAGCAAGTAAAATACACATGTATAATTCAGAATATACATGGTCCTGACAGTAGTTGAAATATTAATTATAGAATAACTAATCGAAGAATTAAAATAGAGAAAAATATTCAACGAGTGACCGAACAACACATTAATTCACGAATGCGCTACGCGCATGAGTTAATTATCAGTGTTGTTCGGTCACGAGTTGAATATTTTTCGATATTTGAATTCTTTGATTAGTTATTCTTTTTATTACATTGGCAAATGGCTTTTTTATGAAATTAAAGTAGCAAACGTAAGGAACTATATCTTTTTTCTACGCATTCACAATTTGTTTTGATCCGACGTTATCGACGTCTTGACAACGCCGATTGTTGTAGACGTCAGAGGAGTGAAATAACCACGTTTATTTCACATGTGAAATTATCGGTTTTTATTTCACTGGGAAATCAATGTAATTCATTGCAACCAATGTAATAAATATGGTTATAAAGATTTTTCTTTTTTTAATTGGTGGTATGACACTTTGATTGTTGATTTCGTATTAAAGCATGCAGCGAAAGAAAGACAACTGTAATGCACAAAAATAATAGACAATTTCTATTGAAGTAGATGAAGTCAGTATTTATATATCGTCGTCTTTCAAGGGTATATAATTGAAATATCATGGTTTATAGAATATATTGTCTTTCTATAGAATATCTTATAATTAATATTCAATTACACGATACTTTCAAAGGATATGGTTTAATGACGCCTCTGGAATTAAATTTTTTTTTTTATAAATTAATAATAGTTGTTTGTGTTTCAATATCAGTGTTGTATGAAAACTATTCTTTCCTATCAGATAAAATTGAAAATTTCAAAAGATAGAGAAAAGCACCATTTCTGGTGTTTTAATGAGGCCGTAGAATTCATTTTAAAGACCAAGTGTGGACCAATTGGCATGGTTTATTTTTCTTTCCTGTGTAAACATAAAACCACCACCTCTTAGCCTTATTTACCGAAAGGTCAACAACACATGTATTTAAATGGTATCAATCTGTTGTGAAAGTACATATTAAGCTCAGAATAGTAAGCAACGTAACGTTATATATCTTCCCGTACTTTCACTTTCCCATTGTCGACGTCAACTTCCGCACAAGTTTTGTTTACTTTAAATCTACACGTTGACGCTGTGTTTCGAAATAGGAATCATTCACGACTTTTCACGGCGCTGCGGTTCCATAAGTGGTTACTTGAACGCTTCAATCACGTAAAACGCTTGCATCTGTATTTACAACGTAAACAATGGCATCCGATGATTACAATACCTGGTCTGTTCCAGAACTAACGTTACGTGGAGCTGTCACAAGAGACAGACATATAGATCTTATAGAAAGGTAAACGATGTATTTAAAAAATATTGAGATTTCTTCTATTATACAAGCGGAAACGCCGCTACAGTACATTGCCAAAAAGCTTTCGTCACCAACAAGGCAACATTTTTGGGCTATATTTTTCATATAAAAAGACGTTTGTTGGAGGCATTTATGGTTGTATTTTTACAAATAATGTGTTGAAAAACGCTGAATTGTATATAAAGAGTATTTGTTTGTTTTGTCATAGCTCTGTCATCTGTCAATACATGTCTGTTGTTTTTATTTTCTCCTGATGTGAACACATATACTATTTTTTACAATTTAATTTGGTTGAAATATAAATATATAGCAAGATTGTTCATAATAGACAATAATATTTATGTTTATCTCAGAAGAAAATGAAAATAAACAAATAATTATTCTGCTGTTGGTACCAAGTTGCATAAAATCAAATCAGAAATGTCCCCTAAATAATCTTTTGAAATGCAATTTTATATGAAATATTTAGTGTGAAATACCAAGTGACAAATACATGTACCCCAAGTTAGAAAAAAGCAAAATAAAAACCCCACTGAACATATAAATAGTCATGAATATATAATTAAACTTTCTAGGATACATTTAAATGATTTTGTATAATAATAATTAAAAATAGGGGTTCTATACAGATATTATCTGTTGGCCATGAAATGTGATACAGACCATGCAGACTGGGCAAGGGAAAATTAAATTTAACTTGTTATATATACTGGGACTATTATACTTATAGTCTATTAGTCCCAGTTATATATAAACAATTAATTACTTTTGAAAATGGGACAATTACACAAGGAAAGTATTAAATCCTCCCAATACCACTTTTAAACAAGACATGATTTTACATTTTTAAGCTTTAAATCTTTTAATATGTCTCAGCTTCATCAACTTAAAAAAAAAAAGACACTGTAAAAAAAATATAAAGGCCCTTCTCTGCAAACTTTTTATATATAACATGATGGGGCCATTTTTGGAAATTTTAAAAGATATGTACATCTATAATGAAGTTTTATTTGCAATTCAAGTTCAAACAAGGAATTATTTAAATATGGAATAATTTCAAATTCTGCAAAATTGATTAGAACATAATTATGAAAACTGACCCAACTAAATATTTTTTAAACTTAGAAATGTGGTCCCTATACATGTAGTTCTACGTCCTTTTTGAATCCTATCTGTTCTTGGCAGATAATCTTATAAGATTCTAAATAGTTTTCTAAACTACATGTATTATACTCTAGAAAAAAATGTTCCTAAACTAGTAAAAAGGGTTATACCTCTGTTGTTTGAAGGGCTGTTAAAACATCTTCCTTTGAATATGGGTTAAATAAATTTTCTCTCCAATAAGAACGTCTTGCTAGAGAGAAAAATTTATTAATTTTTAAGAAAAAAGTAGTGTTTTATAATTTTATATACATATCATGCCCAACATTCAGCATACAAGAATTTTTCAAAATTTCATTAGTTATACCATTAAATCTACATGATATTTTGTTTTTCAAATATTTCATGGCAAGCAGAATTTAATCTATGTAATAGTACTTTAAAAAATCTTTACCTACATGTTTTAAAAAAATTCAAACCATTCCTTAGCTTGTTTAATTAAACTTTGGCTTGAACATGCATTAAATATTTGTCACTGGACATTACGATTCCAACAATCAATCAATATATTTGAACTTGAATCATTGATTTCTTTCCTTTTTGTCTTGCCTTGACAGAGTCCAAAAGCAAGACATAGCATATATTAGGTATGCTGTTTTCAGCGTCATCAACAATGTATTAGTTAGTAAAGTAATATAAAATAGTGAAATATTGCAGACATTTTCTACTGGTAGATATTTGTAACCATGAAAGACAATATATTCATTATACAGTTTTCATGATTAATCGCACAGGCACTTGTCTCAAAAAAAAATTTCCTATATACCTTAATATAACACGTGTTATAGGAAATTTTTTTCTGAGACAAATGCCTGTGATTAATCGCTAGCCCTTCAAGGCCTGGCCAGATATATTTTTTGTAAGTATAGATAATTGTTAATGTTTCAAACTAATTTAGTAGTTATAGTTGGTTAATTTCTGATATATATACATATATATTTGTTTTTTTATTGTCTTATTTTATAATTTAAAATCAAGCCATTAGTTTTCTTGTTTGAATTTTCTTTCATTTTTGAATGTTGTGACCATTGTAGCTGATTAGTACTATGTGATTTTTTCTTGACTGTATTTTATTTAATATTTTGACTTTTTTTTTATCTTTTGTAGAATCAATTAGAAGAGCCAAAATTTATAAGCTTAGATTCAAAACATTCTGGAGGAGCAGATTGTGTGAAGGTATTTATCCTTTTATAGCCTCAATCTATATCACAAAAATGTATTTGTGTGAAAATATACAATTACCATTAAGAGAGTTGATTTTTTGTAAGACCAAGTAAAGGTTACAGGTCCTAATCTCAGTTGGGAAAATGGTACTGTACAGTTTTATTTTAGTACTGGTGAACTCTACCGTTACAGACTCGTATGATAATAATACACCTGAAACTCCACAGATGTACGTGTATATCTTCCGAATCCAGCCACACTGATTAGATGTTGCTTTTCAATATAAATTTTTATGAAACCAGACTGGATTAAAATAAAATTTTCTTGTGTAATTTGATGAAATTTAAATTATCTCCACTAGTTTACTCACTATACAACAGGACTAATCTGTTAACATTTTCTTTACAGAATCCAGCAGAAGTCAAGAGAAATAAAAAAAAAAGGAACAAAAGAAAAATTAAAAAAGAACAGTGAAATGACAAAATTAAATAAACATTTTGCATTTCTTATTGTTGTTATCTTGTGTATTGTTGACCAAGACAGCTAAGAAAACCATCGAAAAGCTGTTCAGACAGAAAATGACAGTTGCTACACAATATCAAACAAAAGATAAAAAAACACTTCTAAGAAAAAATTTGTTCAATGCTGGACCAAATGAAATGCATGAGGATATTTATAATCTGAAATAAAATGCTTTGCTGAGCGCAGCCTGATACGACAGCAGAGGTCGAACCCTATACAGTTGGGTCAAATTTGGACACAATATTCAAGCTTGATATTGTCTGAATTTGGATTGTAATCAAATTTTTGACATAATATAGGTTTCTGACACAAAATAAATGTGGTCAAAGATCTTATAAGTCTATTGCGTAATACTGTGCAATTGAAGATTTCTTCTTGAAACTTTTCAAAAATTCGAAATTTTAAAAATTTTGAAAAAAAAAATATGAATCCCTTAAAAAAAAATTGTGAAAAAATTCCCCCCCCCCAACTTTTTGACCCCCCCCCCCCCCCCATTGGAGCAATAACCCCAAAACTCAATCCCAGCCTTTCCTTTGTAGTATGGAACCTTGTAGTACAATTTCAGAAAGATCCATACACTTACACAAAAGTTATTGTCTGGAAACTAGAAAAATGCTTGTTTTTGGCCCCTAATTCCTACATGTTTGGGGCTATTAACCCAAACCTCAATCCCAGCCTTACCTTTGTTATATGGAACCTAGTGGTACAATGTCAGAGAGATCCATACTTACACACAAGTTATTGTCTGGAAACTAGAAAATGCTTGTTTTTGGCCCTTAATTCCAAAACTGTTGGCCCTATAACCCCTAAAATGAATCCCAACCTTCTACTTGTGGTATTAAACATTGTGGTACAATTTTAGTGCAGTCGATATACTTATACACAAGTTATTATTCTGAAACTAAAAAAATGCTTGTTTTGGGCCCCTTTTTGGGCCCCAATTTCCTAAACGGTTGGGACCATCATCCCCAAAATCAATCCCAACCTTCCTTTTGTGGTATTAAACCTTCTTAAAAAATTTTATAAAGATCCATTCACTTAAACTAAAGTTATTGTCCGGAAACCAATGTTTTCGGACGACGACGACATCATACCATTATACGATCCCAAAAATTTTTTTGCGCTCGTATAAAAATTAATACCTCTTTGTAAGTGAAACAAATTATGCGGTATGGGCTTTGCTCATTGTTGAAGGCTGTACGGTGACCTATAGTTGTAATTATTTCTGTGTCATTTGGTCTCTTGATGAGAGTTGTCTCATTGGCAATCATACCACATCTTCTTTTTATATGTGTTCAGTGCAAAATACCAAAAAATGGACTATTCAATAAAATTGATATCTAAGACAGGAAATATTGGGGTTTGTCAATGAGACATTAACCCGACAAAAATAGACAAAATATATATAGATTTAGCCGGCATCAACAGCATGCAGACAAATGTAAAAGGAGATGTGGGGTAAAGATCAGTATGACGGCAGTTTTTTTCTCAAATGTGGATCCAGGATTTTGAATCTAGATAAAGTGACCCCCCCCCCCCCCACCCCACCACTCCACTCTGAAGTAACTGTATTAAAACAAAGTCAATGTAGGACTTTCTTTGAGATATTATTGTGTCTGGGAGACACAATTGATGCCCCTATAGATGCAAAGTGTTATTTTAAAATAACTATAACATTTAACCGCTTATACCCCAAAAATGACAAAGTTCAACTATCTCCCAAAAGGGCAAACATCAATAAAAATGAAAACCATAACCACATGCACATCTTCAATATATGTACAAACAGACAGCAAAGTGAACACTTCCTAGGATTCTAACTGTAGGAGGAGTTGTGCTGAATAATTATATACCCATAATGGGACGAACGGACAGAAGGACAGACAGGGGTAAAATAATATGCCCCCAACTTTCAGTTGCGGGGGCATTAAAAGGGGTCATCAGGCCCCAAACTAGACAAAGTTTTGAGAGTAATAAAAAAATCTGGATTTACCATAAATGTAGCTCCATAAGGGCCATAAAGGGGGGACCCAGGCACCCCACTCCTAAATCTGTCTCTGATATTAAACATTGTTTATATGTTTCTGAATATTTTATAAAAAGACTTGAAAGATTATGTTAGAAAACATTTTTATAATGATATTTCGAATAACATTTAAATGTTTTTTTAATGATTTTTTGAGAATATGAAGATTATTAAAACATTTTGTTGAAAAATATTTTTTGAACTCTTTCAAAACATTTTATCCTGCAGAAATGAATTTTTATATGTTTTAAAAATGTTTCAGGGATATTTGATTAACAAGCACATTCAAATCATTTATAAGACATTTTACAAACATTGTCGTCAAAATTCAGTAACATTTTAATGATGTTTTAAAAGTATCATGAAAATGTTTTGAAAATATTTTTAACGCCATACATTTGTGCATGATTTTGATATTTTTCTACAATATTTTTTCAACATTTTTCTATTTTTTTTGGTGCTAACTGGGAAAGCAGTGGTGAAACAGCACCACATTAGAACAAATAATAAAATCAATTGCATGTAAATCCATTTCATCTTTTATGCATAATTTATTTACAATGTATTTTTATGAAATTAGAAAGAACACAGCAAACACAGATAATTCTGGAACCAAGTTGAATTAGAAGTTTCCACGTGGAATTACATGTTTCAGATTGTTTATTCCCCTGCCACAGCAGAGGAGAGGCATTAAGTTTTACCCTTGTGTAACTTTTAGACAATACAAGGACTCTTTTAATGTGAATTCGGTTGGACAACACTTTTCTATCACAAACTACTTTCTTCTGATCTAGTTGGAATTTCCCTTTCAGAAAAGTTTGTGTGTTAATATAAGGAACTGTCTTGACTAGTAAATAAATCCTGTTCCATAATTCCACTATTTGCCATTTGTTGTCACCTTTGTCAAATTTTTTTTTACATCTGGTTCTGACAGAAGTATTGATCCTCGCACTTGCAGCCACTTGGATTTTAACCATGAATTCATTTCAAACATAAAGATGTATCCCATTCATCACTTCATGGTTGGGTAAAAAGTCTGTTATCCATGATGGCTTCTGAAATATTAAAACAGGAAAACACAAAGCATCATGTTATTTAATAAACTGCAGGTTCAGAAATTTTTCTTATCATTCATAAAGGACAAGCGTTTAATGCAGGGATGTGTGTGATGTTTTTTTCTAAAAAAAAATACTCTTGATTTCCAACTTTGAAGAATTAAAAAAAAAATGTTCTGACAGCTTTTGCCATAAGTTTAATGTAAAGTCCTTAGAAAATTCAGACTTTATTGCGACAAACAAATAGAAAAATTATGCTCATATGTACCATGGTTTTTTTTTAGAATGCAATATAGGGATTGTCATATTTCCCAATACATGTAGTTCTCTTCCTTTCATGCATTGTTTTGTCAGGGAAATATATTTCACTTGCTATAATTAAGTGCACAACATAATTATTATTTCTTATTTACAATGCAAACAAACGTAAAAGGGTGAAAAAATGTGAAGACTAGGAAAAAACTTACAAAGTGTGAGGGTATATTTGAAGAATAAAATACATCCCTGTGTCATCCCCCTATTTTAATAAATAATAACCTGTCAAATTATTGGGCTGTTTAATCGAGAAAAAATAAAACAAAGAGGTTAAATACTGTACTAAATATAAGAAAAATATAAATACATAATAACCTAATCCTGTTGTTATATAATCTCCTGGCATGACATGGTTATCAGCTGGTTATGGCAAACTTGGTCGAATATTTTCCGCCGGGTTTCCCTAGATATTTTTGAATGGTGGATCAACTCTCTTGATGCCTTTTCTCCATTTTAAAAGAATTTCATGGTCTTTTGGGAATCTGTGGTCCCCCTTCAGAATAATTGCAGCCGGGGATACAACAATTTTGGAGCTTAGTTTGGTGAAATTAGCGAGTGTCGATTGTGGTTACTAATGTAAACATGTGCAACGTAATGCGATTCAAGCGTCAAATTGATTAAAACGTTTCCGACAACCGCTTATGGAACACCAGCGACGTCTACAGGAAGAAATATTACGAATGATCCCTATTGGAAAAAAACTTAAAAGAAGCTTATTGGAAATTGAAAGTAAACTTAAAATTTCTTTAAAAAAAAACCTTCATCACACTTTTACAAAAATAAGGAAATTAAGTATGATTGCCAATGAGACAACTTTCCACCAAAGTTGCATGTTACTTCCCGAATTAAGTACTTTAATTCGTATCGTACTATTTATATAATGAAGATTCCCAATTTCAATTTTAGCGTGATCGGCAAATTTGAGTAACGTGCCATTGTACATTTATTCTGATCGTACGAGTATACATATGTAAATAAGTTATTGTGTATTTATTTGTGTTATAATTTAAAGATATGTATTTTTAACATGTTGTTTATTATACAAGTATACGATTGCGTTCCAGTAAACGAAAGTGAGACAAAATAGACACTCTTTGTTGTGAAAACCCATGCAAAGCCGTTCGGACCCATTGTGATTTATTGAGAATTTGTTCACAACAATTGGTGATAGCGTTGGCATGTTGTGTAACTTTTCAAAGTAGTTTTCAGCTTTTGGGTTTGCTATCATCGCTCACAAAGTTCTTGGAACGTTCAAACATCTTTAACCCTCTTACTGCGGGAAGGACATTAATGTGTCCTCCCCTGGCTTACTGCGGGAAGGACATATATGTCCTTTGTGTATGCAAATACGGCTGTTTTTCATAGCATGTGCTAAACTATACCCCTCCCTCCTTTATTGCATAGATTATAAATATTAGAATTATTAGAATATTTGTTTTTTTTTTATTCTTCTTTTTCTTAAAACGTCATGATTACGTCATAACTTATATGACGTCATAAGACGTCGCAATCGAGTTGACG